GTGTCGCTATAAACATGGGTAAGCACGTATCCCTGTAATTCGATGATTTTAACTCTTTTAGGACAATATCTAGATGGGAGATAGCTGGGTCAAATGGAATTTCTAATTTTAGTTTTTTGAGAAATCTCCACACTGATTTCAATAATGGTTGTACTAAAATGGACAGCCATATTGGTCTAGAAATGTTAATTTTTTTATTTTTATTTTTTATTTTTTTCCATGTATACAGGGGTAACACATCGTACTAAATATGTAAGGTCATATCTATGTGGGTGATTACAGAAACTAATAAAGTATTCTCTAAATAATGAAAAAAAAAGAATAAGACTATAAGAGCAAGAAGCAATTTAAATATGTTCAGGGACCATTTTCATCTCCAGAATTAAGGATTATTTTAATGTTACATCATTGCCTTTTCTCTTTTACTTTCCTTTTTAGTTTTATTTTAGGATTCCCTATTTTTAATGTTCATACAGAGATTTCTTTAACTGAAATACCGAATAGTTTCTCTGGTGTGAAAAACTATAATAGTACACAGGATCCTAATGAGATAATTAATAATATGAAATAGGAAGTAAAGGGCTAAAGGTGTAGGGAAATTGGGAAGGGTGGGGGAAAGGTAATAAGGGCGAGGAAAAAAATATGAGAAACTGAAAAAATGGAAATAAAGTGTTTGTAAATGGGGAGGGGAAGAAGGGGTGAAGGGAGGGCAGGGACAAGGGGAAAAAATGAGAATCAAGACCTATCATGTAAAGGTACAGAATTCCAAGGATGAATGTAACTGTATTGTATACCTGGATTGTACCAATAACCTCAATAAAAAGAAAAAAAATAATGGTTGTACTAGATTACACCCCACCAGCAGTGTAGAAGGGATCCTTTTCCCCCACATTCTTGTCAGCACTTGCTATTATTGGATTTTTTTGATGATAGACATTGTTTTGAGGGTAAAATGGTACTGTATCTCAGTGTAGTTTTAATTTGCTTTCCTCTGATGGCCAATGATGGCGAGCACTTTTTCATGTATTTTTTTTGGCCATTTGTATTTCTTCTTTTGAGAAGTGTCTATTCACTTCAGTTGCCCTTTTTTTCCTGTCTTTTTTTGGGGGGGGGTTGCGCTGAGACAAGAACTTGCTATGTATTTCAGGCTAGCCTTGAACTCACTATGTAGATCAGGCTGTCTTCGAACTCATGATGATCCTCGTGCCTCAGCCTCCCAAGTGCTGGGATTACAGTCCTGTGCCACTACACCTGGCTTCATTGCCCATTTTTTTTTTACTTGGGTGTGTGTGTAAATTTTTTAGTTGTTTCTGTATTTTTGGTGTTAGTCCTCTGTCCCTGGAATAGGTGGCCTAATTTTTTTTCCCATTCTGTAGATTGTCTCTTCACTGAATTGGTTGTTTCCTTTGTTATGCAAAAGTTGTTTAATTTGATGTGATCCAATTTGTGATTCTTGGTAATTTTTCTTGTGCCACTGGGATTCTGTTTTTTTTTTTTTTCTTTTTTTGGTACTGGGGATCGAACTCAGGTCCTTGCGCTTGTGAGGCAGGCCACTGAACCACTGAGTTAAGTCCCCGGCCCTTGTGCCACTGGGATTCTGTTCAGAAAGTCCTTGCCTATGTTATGTGCTCAAGCTGTATCTATTTTATCTTTATTTTCCAGCAGATTGTGTGTTTTAACATTTAGATCTTTGATTTTTTTGTTGTTTTTGTTACCAGGGATCGAATTTGGGACCTTGCCAGCCAGCGGTACCATTGAGCTAAATCCATTTTGATTTTACTGTAGTACATAGTGAGATTCTATTCTAATTTCTATCTTCTATTTTTGTTTATTTATTTATTTTTTGGCACCAGAGATTGAACTCAGGATTTTGGGCCTGCAAGGCAGGCGGCAGAACCACTGAGCTAAATCCCCAGCCTTTCTATTATTTTATTGAGGTTTTGGTCTGTTATTATGTCTCTTCCTTGACCCTCCTTTGGGTTAAAAATTTTGTCACTTTTTCCTTTTATTCTCATTAACAAAAAAAATTTTTTTCCTATACTGGGGATTGAATCTGAGGCCTTTGCACTGAGTTAAATCATCAGCCCTTTAAAAAATTAAAAAAAAATTTTTTTTGAGACAGGGTCTCACTATATAGTTGAGTCTGACTTGAAACTCGCTATGTAGCCCAGGCTGGTCTTGAACTCACAGCGATCCTCCTGCCTCAGCCTTCCTAGTGCTGGGATTATAGGCATGGGCTACCATGCCTGGCTTTTTAAAAATTTTAAGACACTACAGATGCTAAATTGCCCAGGCTGGGCTGGAATTTGTGATCCTCCTGCCTTAGCCTCCCGTAATGCAGGCATTATGACCAGCATTTGTTTGTTTGGTTTTTGAGATAATATTTTGCTATGTTGCCCATGCTGGTCTCCAACTCCTAAGCTCAAGTGATCCTCATACGTCACTCTCTAGATTAGTTCTACCACTACTCTCCACTTCCATTTTTAAAACGTTTGCCCAGGCATGGTAGCATACACAGTAATCTCAGTACTCTAGAAGGCTGAGGCAGGAGGATTATACATTTGAGCACCTTGTGGGAAATTAGTGACTTAGGGAGACCCTGTCTCAAAAATAAAAAAGTCAGAAAAGGGCTGGAGATTTAGCTTAATACAAAGGCCCCTTTTTCTTTCTTTTTTTTTTTTTTTTTTTTTTTTTTTTTGAGACAGAGTCTCACTAGGTAGTTGAGACTGACCTGGAACTCACGATGTAGCCCAGGCTGGTCTCGAACTCACAGCGATCCTCCTGACTCAGCCTCCCCAGTGCTGGGATTACAGGTGTGCGCAACTACACCCGCAAAGGCCCCTTTTTCAATCCCCAGTATCACAAAAATCAATAAATAAAACACAACTCTTTTTTTTGTTTGTTTGAGACAGAGTCTCACTATGTATTTGAGACTGCCCTGGAACTCACTGTGTAGCCCACGCTGGTCTCGAACTCACAGCGATCCTCCTGCCTCAGCCTCCCAAGTGCTGGGAGTTCAGGCATGCGCCACCACACCAGGCTAAGACACAGACTTTTGACTGAGGCAAATGCACACCCAGAAGAGGGCCCACAAGTCTGTAACCTCAGCACATATGTCATCTGCCCAGATTAAGAAACAATGCAATCAGCGCTTTGTGAGCTTCCTCGTGTTCCCCTCCAGTTACTTCTCCTCCAGACTGACCACCTTGGCTCCTAGCAACACGGACATTTGGGTAATTTTAGCTTGGGGCCGTTACAAAGTGTGCTCACAAGCTGTTTTGGACATGCCGTCTTGAATATATGTAGACATTCCATTGGGTGTACAACTAGGAGTGAAAGCGTTGGAACAAAGGCTATTCATACATTCGGCTGCAGCTGACAGTGTGAGCAAGTCCATTCAGTTCACGTTCCCTTCAGGAGCCTCTGAGCATTGTGGTTGCCTCAATCTCGCCGATTCTTGGGATTTTCCCATCTTTTCCATCTGAGCCTCTAATGCTATCTTACTGTGGTCTTAGTTTGTATTTCCTCTTATGGTTTGTCTTGTAGGTACTGTACTTCAAGCAGGAACAGATAAAAATACAGGAAGTTAGTCTCTTTCCCTCCCACATTATGCCACCTATCTAATGGGATGCAGCACCTTCTTCTCCGTAATAAAGAGGATGAGGGCAACAAGCTCTGCAACTGTATATGAGGCAGCCAATGTCTGCTGTACTGAGGTTTGATTATTAGTGGCAATGTTTACTTGCTGAGGTAGCTTGAAAGAGTTATTTAACTCCCTCTCCTTTTTTTTGTAAATACAGTAGCATAGCAATAGTACAGCTTCACAGGACTGTTAGGGAATTAAGCGCCACTAAATAATTAAAATGCTTTACAAAGTTACTAGTACAATGAGAGCCAGGAATAGGTGTACATATCTGTAATCCTAGTTACTGGAGAGGATGAGGAAGGAGGGTCACAAGTTGGAGGCCAGTGTGGGTAATACATCCAGATCCCATCTCAAAAAAATAAAAACAATAAACGTTCTTAGCATTAGAGTAAGCACATATAGCTTATATTGATTGTTTTATTTTTGACAGGGTCTCACTATGTAGTTCAAGCTGGCCTCAAACTTGTGGCAATCCTCCTGCCTCAGCCTTCTGAGTGCTAGGATTGCAAGTAAATGCAACCAAGCCTGGCCCTTATATTGTTTATACACATCTAATTTCTCCTTTTGTTGTACACAATCTGTGACAATGGAAAAGCATGTAGCACACAACAGCTGCCTCACAAATAATAGTTGCTAATAAATACTCAATGATTTAATGTATAAAGAGAAGCTATTATAGCTATTGTTACAAAAGATGGCATAAATTATTAAAGGTTATAGGATAATAGGCACTGTTAAGGGAGAATACATTATCTAAACACAGTCGCTCATTTTATTTACTGTCATCATTTAATAGTTAAGAAAATGAATGTAGAGTTGGGCGTGGTGGTGCACGCCTGTAATTCCATCGCTCGGGAGGCTGAGGCAGGAGGATCACTGTGAATTCGAGACCAGCCTGGGCTACATAGTGAGTTCCAGGTCAGTCTCAACTACATAGTGAGACCCTCTCTCAAAACAAAAAACAAACAAAAAACCAGAAAATGAATGTAGAGTTGGGCGTGGTGGTGCACGCCTGTAATTCCAGCGCTCGGGAGGCTGAGGCAGGAGGATCACTGTGAATTCGAGACCAGCCTGGGCTACATAGTGAGTTCCAGGTCAGTCTCAACTACATAGTGAGACCCTCTCTCAAAACAAAAAACAAACAAAAAACCAGAAAATGAATGTAGCAGGGAAACATTATCCAAAGTAATAAAGGATTAAAATTAGATGTCATACATTGCATTTGGGAATGTTCTATAGGCATTTCCCTTTAAAACCAAAGGGAAAAAACAAAAATACCATCGCAGAAACAAAAACACCATTTTTCTGAAGAGACGTTAAACCTTGCAATTTTAACAGGTCTTTTATTCGACAGTGCAGAAATTGAGGCGGTAACAGTTGCCCCGGCAGCTTCCGTACAAGATGGCGCTTCCCATTCGCACGCTGCAAAGGGGCTACGTCCGCCCCTAGCCGCCGGCCCGGAAGTGGTTACGACCGCAGTGGCTCCGGGTAGGTGCGCGGAGGCGGTTGTGGAGGTTCCAGTTTTTCAGCGTAAGGCGCCGCAGGTGTTCAGACCGGGTTCGAAGGTGCAGGTAAGCTTTGGGGTCGACAGAGCCTTCATTGGGGTTATGCGAGACGCAGACGGGGTTTATTGAGAAGAGTCCGGATGCTGGGGTACCAGGGTGTGCGTGCGCGGGCGATCGCTGGGATCCGGCTGTCAGCCAACGAATTGGCCCTGCCCCTGTGCCCGCCCTCGGGCGCGGCCTCCTCGTCCTCCTCGCGCCGGAGCACGGACAGTTCAGTGTCAGGCGCCCGGAGGGTCTTCATTCCGCCCTCTGCTCCCCACTTCCTCCCCGGGCCGCCCTGTTCGGCCCCCTTGCTCTCTAAGAGCATCTGCCAAGCCCTCGGGCCGTCTTGGACCCCGTGAGCTGAAAGGCTGGGCCAGTCCGCCCACTCGGGCCTCCTCGCCATCCGTGGCCAGCGTGGGGACCAACCCCGACCCAGTACACCCGCTGCTTTGGGCCTTGCTCCATGTCAGTTGTGGTTTTTCACATTCGTGGGATAACATCAAGACAAGAGTTGTGGCCCTTATTAATTACAGAAGCGATACCTGCTCATTAAAATACAAACTCAAGCCTTGATACTCAAACTCTTGTATATGCCCGTTCATTGAAAACACAAAACCACTTGTGTACCTTATAGAAGGAATTACAACTGAAAGATTGTGGGTGTTCAGGTTTTTGTTTTTGCAGTGCAGGAATCGAACCCAGGACCTATGGATATGCTTTCAGGGATGACGAACCTTTTAGCGCTTTCAGTGATACAAACAGCCTGCAGTGGCTTGCGTGCCATAGGTTCGGCACCACTGGAGGCTACCTCGCAAGCCCTGAAAGGTTTTGCTAGTTATCTAAATTAGAAAGTGTGGGAGAAAAGAGATTTAATGGATTGGAGAAGGAAATGGTTACTTTTGGCCAAATTGAGTGTGTTTTAAAAATGTATTTAGAAATATCTGTTATAGTTGTATTCCCTGCTTATCGTCTTGTAAGAACATCATGTAAAATATTTAAACAAGAAAGATCCTCTTTGGTATATATTTTTTTCTATCTCTGTCTTATAAGAACTAATATTAGTCTGAGTTGTATTTTTCTATTTCTTTACATTTACTGACAAATGTGTACATATGGTGTGTATTTAAGATTTCATGTTCATCTTTTATAATGCATAGTCTTATAAATATGGCATAATATACATTTTCTGCAGCTTGATATTTTATGCTTAAAAATGGGTCTTGAACTATTTTCGTTGTCAGTATATAGAGATCAACCTATTTTACTTGCTCTGTAAGATCCGTAGTCTGTTAACGTTTCATCCTATGCAGAACTCGGTAATTGTTCCCAGTTTTCTGCTGCTCACAATGTGGAGAACATCCTTCTATATGCCCTTGTGCCACGTGAGCATTCCTCAAAGATAGACGCTTGTGGGTGGAATTGTTGGATGGAGGATGTAGACATTTAATGATGCCGAACTGCCTACCAATATGTATAATAATGCTTATTTTATCCTAGGTTCTTTTAAACATTTAGTCAGTATCAGTCTTTGTTATTTTTCCACACCTGGCTGTTGAGCCATTAATTTGAAATGCTACATTTATTATTAACTTCTCACACACATGGCTGTGTTTCTGGACTTTCTTCTGTTCTGTAGGTTATTTATTTTGCTGAACCCTAGTGCCAACCATCTTATATAGAGTGTATTTTACACTTTCAATTTAGTAGGATAACTACTTCTACATAATTATTTTGTTGGGGCTGGGGATTTAGCTCAGTGCTGCTGCCACCTGCCTCGCAGGCAAGGCCCTGAGTTTGATTCCCGGTAGCAAAAAAACCCAACCAACTAAGCAAACAATTATTTTGTTGGAATGCATAGGCTTTTTTGGCTTACATGTCTCCTTATTTATTTAATTTATTTATTATTTGGTACTGGGAATCGAATTCAGGGCCTTGCTCTGAGATACATCCCACTCCCATTCTCCGTTATTTTATGATTACTATTTTTGTTTATTCATAGTTGTTCCCTTTAACTAGTAACATTGGCTCACAGCACTAGGCACATGAAGCTGGAAGAAAACAAACTTCAGTAGAAAGCAACACAAGGACTGTGTTGTGTGCATGAGTGAGAAACTCTTGGGAATAAATATTGAAGCACTGAAACGGGAAGGAGAGGCCGTGTTCCCTTTTTTTAAAAACAGTATTTGTAGCTCATCTTGTTTCTTTTCTGCAAATTTTGTTGTTGTTCTAAGGATTAAACCTAGGGCCTTGCACAAACAAGGCAAGTGCTCTACTAAGCTACATTCCCAGCCCCAACCCAGAATATTTTTATTTTTTATTTCAGGGGGTGTTTTTTGAGATAGGATCTTGCTATGTAGTTCAGGCTGGCCTTGAACTGACTTCATGGCCCAGGCTGGCCACGAACTTGCAATGATCCTCTTGCCTCAGCCTCCTGAGTGCTGGAATTACAGATGTATATGCCACCACACCTAGTTCAGATTATTTTTAGTTGACTTGTCAGTATTTTTTGTGGCTTTATTCAGATGGAACTCATACATCATACAATTCATTATTCATAATGTGCAGTTCAGGGCTGGGGATTTCAGTGGTGCCATGCCTGCCGTGGAATCACAAGGTCCCAAGTTTGATCCCCAGTACAAAACAAAACAGACAAACATAATGTACAATTCAGGAAATTTTAATATATTCTTGGAGTTGTGCCACCATCACCACAATCTAACTTTAGAACATTTTTATTAACTCCCCAACACCCATACCCATTAGTGGTCACTCCCTAGTCCCATCTCCCTGGCAACCACTCATCCTCCTGTCTTCACACATCTCGATGTTTATATAAATGGAATCACACAGTATGTGGTATTTTGTGACTGGCTTCTTTGGCTTAACAGTGTTTTCAAGTTCATGCATTCTGTAGCATCTACTGTATCATTCCATTTTATCGCTGAATAAAATTCTGTCCTATGGTGTATATTTGTTTTCTGGAGCCTCCGTAACAAAATGACACAAACCGGATGGCTTAAAACAATGGAAATCTATTTTTTCACAGTTCTGGGGGCTAGAGCTTGCAGTAAAGGTGTCTGCACAACTGTGCTATCTCTGGGCTCTGCGGAGAGTCTTTTCTTGGCTCTTCCTAGTTCTGGTGGTTGTTGGCAGTCCTTGACATTCCTTGGTTCGCAGTTGCATAAACCCATTCCGTGCCTCTGTTTTCACACGGCCGCTTGCCTGTATGTCTTTACGTACCATTCTATCTGTGTCTCCTCTTCTCTTCTTATAGGACACTAGTCCATCTCACTTTAGTATGAACTCATCTTCATTGTGCCTGTAAAGACCCTGTTTCCAAATATGAGTAAGGTCATATTCACAGGTGACAGGCATTGGGGGTTAGAACTTCAACATAGTCTTTTTGATTCAACCCATAACATGGAGGTACACTACATTTTATGTAACCTTTCATCAGCTAGTGGGAATTTGGCTTGTTTCCACTTTGGGGATAGTACTGTAAAAGTAATTCCTCTGTGAACTATTGATTTACTTATTTGGGTACTGGGGACTGAACTCAGGGATGCTCTACCACTGAGTTGTATCCATCTTTAAAAAAAATTTTTTTATTTTGATATAAGATCTTGGAAAGTTACCCAAGCTGGCCTTAAACTTGTAGTCCTCCTGGATCAGCCTCCTGTGGTATCTGGGAGTAGAGGTATGTGCTCAGCTTGGTATGAACTTCTGTGTGGGCATATTTTCATTTTCCTTCGATGTGTAGCTGAGAGTGGGCTTGTAGGGTGATATGGCAAATCTTTGTTTAACCTTTTGAGGACCTGATAGACTGTTTTCCAGAGCAGCTGCACTATTTAACATTCCTGCTGACAGTGTATGAGCGTTCTCATTTCTGCCAACACTAATTATTGGGTTTTTAAAAAGTTTCTGTGAGCACCATCGTAGTGGTTGTGAAATGTGTCTCATTGTAGCTTTGATTTGTAATTCCCTGGGCCAGGGGTATAGCTCAGTGGCACAGCACCTGCCTGGCAAGTGTGAGGCCCTGAGTTTGATTCCTGGTACAAACAAACCCCAAAATGAGAGAATGGTTTGTAGTTCCCTAATATTGTATTTTCCCTCAAATAAGACCAGGTCTTATATTAATTTTTGCTCCAGAAGTCACAATAGGGCTTATTTTCAGGAGATGTCTTTGTGTGTGTTTGTGTGTGTCTATGTGTGTGTGTGTGTGTGTGTGTGTGTCCATCTACATTTATTCATGTACCAAAATTTACATTCATTCAAATACAGTCATGTCTTCTTCTGGAACAATGTCGTATGTCGCCAAGCCTGAGTTTTGGCCTGAATTTCTTTCAACTCCTTTTCCCATAGAACCATTGATACCAGTTGTCTCATGTCCAACAATAGAGCTCTCCTTGAGTGAGCATTTCTTGTCCATGTAGCCTGCCATGTAGCCTGTAGTGCATACATCACAGCTGTCAGCGATTTTATCTCATGAATTCTTCACCCAAGTCATGACCACTTAGAGACTGGGCTTCGCAAAGTTTCTATTAAATCAGGTGTTAATTGAAGCCTTAAGAGACAGGAGTGGCAACAAAAATGATGGTGGTTAAGAACAATGGTCCACACAAAAGCGACAACAGAGGTATCTGCAGTTTAGTAACTCGCTTTGTATGTATTTGATCAATTGTTTAACCTGTCTGTTGAGTACTGAATTTTTAAAGAATTTTTAAGAAATTTTTTAAACCTAGAATTTCTTTTTTCTTTTTTTTTTTTTTGCTTCCTGCTCATGTTCTAGTGATCATTTTCCTTAATATCTCTGAGTATCTTCCTTAAGAGATATTTCCTAATATCTCTTAAAGTCAGGTATGGAAAGTTTTGTTTGTCTCTATGAACCTTTAATTGGGTTTGGAGTTTTGTTGGGTTTTTACCTCATTTATGAGCCCTCATCTGGGGACTTGCCTACCATGGAAGTCCTGCATGTGTCCTGTGTGCTAGAAATATGTGTACCGTGTACGGCACAGTAGTTCTATAGTTGGCTCTGCCTAGTTCCAGCAGAGTCCCCCAATTCTGAACCAGTTTTATTTTAGTTTCCCTTTGAAAGGCTGTGGATGTGGGCCCTGTACCTGCACCACCTGCAGACTTGAGGGTCTGTCCGATCCTGAGGTGCAGTGCTGGCTTACGTGGACCACAGCAGGTAAACACTTTCTGGTCCCTGTTCATGGACAGGGCAGCACTTTGCTGGGCCCCAGCGTGTCCTGAGCATGTACCCTAGACTCCTGCCCCCAGGTTGGTAAAAGAGCTGGAGCTGCTGAGAGTTCTGCTCTCTGCGCAGTTTCATCTTCCACTTACTGTGGGTTCCCTCTTCCATTCCTGACTCCTCATGATTCCTCTTTCTTCTTCTTCCTTCTTGTCTTCCTCCTCCCGCACCTCTCTCTTCTGCACCCCTTTTCCTCGTCTTACAAAAATTACTGAATTCCATTAAGCCTGTTTCATCCTCAGTAAAAGTACAGGAGGAAATACATATGAAATACTTAGCACAGTGTGTAAAGTAAATTTTAAAAAACAGTATGGCTGTTATATTAGCATATTTTATTCCTTTTATAGTCGTTGTGATTCCATTTTTCATTTCTCATAGCCAAATATCTCTGCAGACCTCATATAATTCAGGTCGTTGTAATGTTGTGAAACATTAAGAACAAGATTAAAACAGTGGTGTGGCTTCAGGCAGGTGCCACTCTTCCCTGTCTTTGGGCAGTTTAGGTTTCAGACCAGAGCCCACAGATGGGTCGCCAAGCTTCCAGAGTGTTTTTGTTGGACTGGCACAGTACTTTAAGAAACTATACATTTCTTTCTGACATTGAGCAGTGGTGGCATTTCCCGGGAAATTCAGACCCTTGAGTTCTCCTGAATAAGCTCAGTGTCTGGCTACACCGGGCCTGCTTTTCACACCGCTTGTGCCAAGTGATCGCCACTGAGGTGAAGGCCGCTTACAGTTTATTATCCCATTTTTACTGAGTTTTTAAAATAGCACTGAAATAGTACTGTATACTCATTTAGCTCTCAAAAATGGGTAAAACAAAAGATACTGGTGAAAGCCCTATGTAACGTAATAGAAAAGGGCCTGTTTTGTGGCTTGCTTCATCTATTAACTTTGACGAGCCCAGCCCTGAAGACAGTCTTCCTCTGGGCATCTTGGATCTCTAAGAGCCATTCTTCTCTCTCTCTTTTAATCTTACTGAGTTTATTGTTACTTTTTAAGTACACAGTACAGTTACATTCATCATTGGGATCCTGCACCTTTGCATGACAGCTGTGCTTTTCTTTTTCTTCTCCAATCCCTTCCCTTTTGTGTTGCTCTGCCTTACTCTGCAGTAACTGATGAGTCCTGTGGAGAACCACTCGACTCAGGAGTGACGTTTCCTTCCCTCCCACACTGTCCACCTCTTCCAGAAGATCAGAACACTCTTCCTACCACCTTACTGATGATTAAGTTCTTTGTTTAGCTGAGAAATAAAGCTTTCGTTCAAGTGGTAGGAGACTAAAGTTTTTAAAGTGTAAACATGTTGAAGAGGAACCATTAACTAAAAAAATCATTTGCTAGTAGCCCAAAGTGAGAGTCTAGCTTCTTTTGCTTTCATTGATAGGGTTTTATATCACTAAGAGAGTCCTGGGCAACTGTCAGAAGGCAGGGCTGAAGATAGGGTAGAATAAAAAACTTAAAAAATGAAAATAATTAAAATATTACTGTTTCATGTGGAAATTTATAGCAGGTATTTTAATTTGTAGGCACAGGGATTATACATGGAACTTCTTAGGGATTTATATTCTGTATACAAATCTATTTTGCCTTTTGTCTTGCAGATTGTGGAATTAGTGAAATGCTGTCCTAAACACTAAAAGGTTGAACATGCCTAGACAGAACTTGATGGCTTTGACAGTGGCCACCCTCCTGGGAGTGGCTGTGGGGGGCTTCGTCCTGTGGTGGGGCATCCAGCGCCGGAGGAAGAGCCCTGTGACCCAGGCACAGCCGCAGCAAGCGCCAGGCAGGAGGGTGTGGTACCCTCCACAAGAGGACCAGCTGCCCTTGGGTGTCCGCAGGCCCTCATGGGAGGAGAGGATCCTCCAGGCAAAGGTGGTGACGGTGTCTCAGGAGGCCGAGTGGGAGCAAATCCAGCCCCTGCTTTGGAGTGAGTTGGAAGATTTTCCAGTGCTTGGAATCGACTGTGAGTGGGTAAGTTAAAATGCAAAATTAAAAAAAAAAAATCTCTCTGGTTTTTCTGAGTAGGAGCCTAGGACAGTCAGCAGAGAACAGGTGAAAGGTGAATTAGCTTGTTCTCTACTTGTTTGTAAGTAAATTTTAGCCAGCGAAGCCGCTGCCCTTCTCAGGATAACGGCAGAGTTAGAGCTGCGTGTGTCCATCTTCACCGCATGCTCTGAATTGGTACAAGCTCCTTAGCTCTTCCAGAAGCAGTGTGCTTGTTTGTGATAGGGATGTAATGGTCCCAGCCTCCAGTGGCTTTTCTAGGGATTCAAGGGCATAATGGTTGTAAAGGTTTCAGCACAGTTTTAACATAGTAAGCACTTATTTGACACTAACTGCCACTAATATTTTAATAGCCTTCTCATAAGGATGCCAGAGTAGTTAAGAAGTCCTATTTAAATGGGAATTATTACTTGAGGTAGGATTTTAAAAGATAAAAAGATTAAAAGGGAAGGGTAGAGGGAGTGAAGGGAGGGCAGGGGAATGGGAAAAAAAAGAACCAAAATGCATCATGTAAACGTACGAGATCCCAATGACGAATGTAAGTGTACTGTGTACCTAAAATGGAATGAACAAATAGGGAAGGGTAGAGGGAGTGAAGGGAGGGCAGGGGAATGGGAAAAAAAAGAACCAATATGCATCATGTAAACGTACGAGATCCCAATGACGAATGTAAGTGTACTGTGTACCTAAAATGGACCAATAAACTCAATGAGGAAAAAGATAATGAACATTTGAAATATCATTTACTCTAAATTAAGCCATGCACTGTGCTGATTTGCTTGCCTCGTGTCATTTTATTTTCCCAACAATTCTAGGTAGGAAAATAATGTTATCTCACTTTGTAGATAGAGAACAGAGGCTTAAAAAGGTGTAGTCCTGTGCCCCAGGTCACGGAACTAATAACCAGCATTTGAGTCCAGCGTTTTCTGAACCATCTGGTTGATTTTTCTAATACGTGTCACCTTTGAGGAGTTGTTACATAGTTAGGATGAGGATAATATGGTAAACCCACCCGGTGTGGTGGTACACGCCTGTGATCCCAGCACTAGTTGCTGAGGCAGGAGGGTTGCTGTGAGTTCGAGACCAGCCTGGGCTACAGTCTGAAGTACATAGTGAGACCTTGTCTCAACTGGGGAAAAAGAACAAACTGAAAAAAAAAGAGTAACTTTTCTCTTCTGTCACTGTGATTCACAGAGATTAAAAAATATAAATAGTTCTTAGTTATCATCTTTTATTAACACTTTGCCATGATTCTCTGATAGGTCTTCTGGCTATCTAGAATATAGCCAGGGAATGTAATGAAAGGAGGTCCTATGCAGAATGGCTCCCACTAAATCACGGATTGGCCGGAGAGGCTACTAGATGCCAACAAAGCGATGACCAGGAAAAAAGCCTTTACAGCTTCTGAGTTTTTGTTTTGTTTTCTTGTACTGGGGATTGAACTAGGTTCAAACTAGTATAGCCTTTGTACTGAATTACATCTCCGGCTCTTTATTTATTTATTTTGGTTTTTTGAGACAGGGTCTCACTATGTAGTTGAGACTGACCTGGAACTCAATATGTAGCCCTGACTGGTCTCGACCCCACAGCGATCCTCCTGCCTCAGCCTCCAGAGTGCTGGGATTACAGGCATGTGCCACCATGCCTGGCTCCAGCTCTTTTCAAAATTTTTAATTTTGACATAGAAGCTAGCTAAGATGTCCAGGTGGGGCTTAAACTTTTGATCCTTCTGCCTCAGCCTCCCAGAGTGCTGAGATTATAGGTACATACCGCTATGCTCAGCTCTGAGGGTATTTCTTTATATCAGCAATAGTAGTGTTTGCTTATACAAATGACCTTGGATCATCAAGGAAGGTTTGAGTCCTTTTAGTCTATTCTGTATCATTTTAGAAATAATTACATCAACAGCAGTAGAAGACAACATTAGGACTTAAATGATAAGCCTTACTAGATTAGGAAAATTCACATTTTCAAATGAGAAAAAAAAGGTAGGGTGTACCTCGTACAGGGGCAAATTCCCTATGATGAGTGTTATCATTATTCATGCCTAAAATGTACCAATAAATGTTTTGTTATTTTAAAAAACTGAATTATTCCAACTACACGGAGTGTAACTTCAACAACAGGGTAGTCTGGAGTGGATTCTAATGGTAATCTAATGGTAATGTGCTCTAATTACCATAGCAGAGGCATGGGTAAATTAAAATGGCAAATGGTTCAAAGTTCATTTCATCTTGACTTTTTTTTTTCTTCTTTTGGTACGGGGTCGCGGGGGTGGGGTGGGGGGCTGGAACTCAGGACCTTGTGCTTGTGAGGCAGGCGGCGGCACCACTGAGCTAAATCCCCAGCCCCTCATCTTGACTTTTGCTATGTGTTGGACTCATGCTGGATGGCACATCTCCCTTCAGATAGGATTGCTTTTTCGTGGCTGCTGTCCCAGAAACATTTCATGAACAGGACATCCACACTTGCTGTATCTATCCCTCCATTCTCGTTTTCCTTTTCCTTTCATTCACTTTTTGGTATGTATTTGGTCATGATTTCTTTTGTTCTTGTTTTGCTCAGTATTTGTATAGATTTACCAAACTCTTTATTTTCTTTGCTTAGCTTTCTTTGTATCTCAGACTTCCCTTTTGTGATAACTTTTCTGAAGGTTATTATTTATTTTTTTCTTTCTTTTTTGGTACCAGGGATTGAACTCAGGACCTTGTGTTTTTGAGGCAGGTGGCTACACCACTGAGCTAAATCCCTGGCCCTTTTTTCCTTGATTAACACATATTACTTGTACAGATTAATGGGTTTTACACTGTTTCTGTACATCATGCACTAATTATATCCACTTTCCCTTGTATCCTTTTTCACTTGCCCTTCTCCCCCAACACCATCCCCTTCCTGATCTCTAATGGTCCTTCTTTTAGAAGTTCATTTCTTGGGCCGGGCATTTAGCTCAGCGGTTCGGTGGCCTGCCTCGCAAGTGCAAGGACCCGAGTTCAGTCCCCAGTACCAAAAAACAAAGCAAAACAATACAACAACAACAACAAAAAGAAGTTCATTTCTTGATGGCCATTGATAGCACCTACTTTTGTTGTTCTAAATATGTCTTTATTTTGCTTTTAGTCTTAAGTGAGTTTTCTGGGTATAACACTTTAGCTTACTATCCAGGGCAGTGCTGTACACCTGTAGTCCTAGCTACTTGGGAGGCTCAGGTAGGAAGATTGCAAGTTTGAGGCCAGCCTGGATAATTTAGTGAGACCCTGCCTGTCTCAAGATTTAAAAAAATGAAAAGGCCTGGGGATGTAGCTCAGTGCAACAGCATCCCAGGGTTTGATCTCCAGTACTGGGGGAAAAAAAAAGAGACCAAACTTGTCAATTTATCACTTTCAAGGTAGTATTTCACTGTTTTCTGGCTTCTTTTCGTGCTGTCGAAGATAATTGTTGATATATTGATTCTTTGTAGGTAATATAATTTTTTTCCTTTATTGGTACATTTTAGATATACAATTACTTTCATCATTGGGATCTTGTATCTTTACATGATGTATCTTGGTTCTTATTTTTTTTCCCATTCCCCTGGCTTCCCTTTACCTCCTCCACCTTTTCCTATTTACAAAGACTTTGTTTCCATTTTTTTCCTTTTGTTTTTCTTTTCCCTTCTACCTTTTCTCTACCCCTCCTACTTCCCCTATACCTTTAGACCTTTTTTCCTGTTATACAATATCAATTGTACATTTTGATCCTTATTTACACTTTTAGTTTATTACATTAGAGAAGCTATTTGGTATTTACACATGTGTGTCCTATTTATTTCACTTAAGAGTATGTCTTCAATGTGCAACCATTTAGCTATAAAACTCTCTAGTTTCTTATTCTTTATGGCTGAGTAATACTCCATTTTATTAAAAAAAAAATCTTTATCCAGTCTCCAGTTGATGGGCAATTAGGCCATTTCCAAGTTTTAGCTATTACAAACCTGGATGTGCATATATCACTGTGGTATGATTCTTTTAATTCTTTTGGGAAGATACCCAGCAGGGGAATAGCTGGGTCAAATGGGACTTCTAATTCTAGTTGTTTAAGATATCTCCATATTGATTTCCACAGTGGTTGCACCAGTCTGCACTCCCACCAACAATGCAGAAGGGTTACTTCCTCCCCACAATCCCATCAACATTTGTTATTGGTTGATCTCTTGATAGCAGCCATTCTTTCTGGGGTGAGGTGGAATCTCAGTGTTGTTTTCATCTGCATCTCTCGAATGAACAGTGATGTTGAACATTCCTTCATATGTTTATTTCCTGCTTTTACCTCTTTGTTTGAGAAATGTGTTTTCATTTCAGATGCCCATTTTTGAATTGGGTTTTTAAATTTGGGAGGTCTGATTTTTTTGAGTTCTTTATATGTTCTGGATAGTAGACCTTTGTCTGAGGAACAGCTGGTAAAAATTTTTTCCCACATTGTAGGTTGTCCCTTAGTTCTATTGGTGGTTTCTCTTGCAATGCAGAAGCTTTTTAAAAAGATGAGATCCCAGTTGTTGATTCTTTGTGCTAGTTCCCATGCTACTGAGGATTTGTTCATAAAAAGTCTTTTCCTATGCCAGTGTCTTCAAGAATTCTACCTAGCTTATCTTTCAACAAGTTTAGTGTTTCTGTTTTAATATTTAGATCTCTAATCCACTTTGATTTTAGTTTTGTGCATGGTGAAAGATAGGGGTCTAGTTTTCTTTGGCAAGTTGAAATCCAGTTTTTCCAACACTGTTTATTAAAGAAGCTATCTTTCCTCCATTGAGGATGGTTTGTCAAAGATGAGGTAGCTAAGGGTGTCTGGAGTTTGGGCATCTTCTAATCTATTCTGCTGATCCTCAGGTCTGTTTCTTTTCTGGTACCATGCTGTTTTTATCACAATGGCTTTGTACTATAGTTTCAAGTTGGGGATTGTGATACCCCCTGCCATGTCTCTCTTGCCTAGAG